CCAGCTGCGGCAGAGTCAAATATCCCTTCAACAATGAGAGCAGTGGTGCTGTTCTCGTTATAAACATTTGTTATTCCTATATCATTTGCAATCCCAACTGGGGTGGTGATGAGGGAGAAAAGAAGTTATCATGATCGCAGTGGCTCGATTCTTAAATTTTGCCTGTATCAGTTCAGTCATAGAACAAGAAAAGTTTTATTAGTGTCTCACAATAATTTAGTAATATATACCCCAGAATCATTCTATATAAATCTATACATTGAATTCATTAATTCAAAGCCTGACCCACCCCCGATTCTCCAAATGCTAATTGAAAGACTAACTGAGGATTTAATACTCAAACTGATGCATCTACCAAGGGAAAGACTAACTGAAGTAATCAACTTCCGTTAATTTGATACCTGAGTAATGCATCCACCAAGCCCCATGCCCTCAAAGAACTGATGGAAAGTCAGAGCTGCAACCAAAGGTCTTATTGTTGAAAGGTCTTCCGAAGTCCCCAAGGAAATCCCAATGATCACAGAGTGTACCACAATTCCCAACTCCAAAACCTATCCATAACCAAGAAAATGGAGAACCCATGTTACAAAAAGTAAGTTGACAGGGAGAAAATGAAACAAAGGAACATCTCAGACGAAAGGAACAGAAAGAAAGAAGAAGAAAAGAATATGATAAAAACAAATCAAAACTCAAGCTTACCTGTGAGATGGGTCGATGTTTCAGAAACTCTGAGGAGGTAGAATCTGAGCCATGGGCATGACCATGTGTGGCATGGGTGTGAACATGGACGTGACCCCACATGCTCACCTGTCCTTTCTTCATATCCATTCAAGGGGTGAGACTTGTTAAAGTGAGACCTCTTATAATAACCAGTGGCTGAAGTGTCTATCATCTTTGCAACAAAGCCAGTGAATGGAAGCTCCCATGCCTTGCCTTCAAGCCACGGCGAGGTTAACAGGTCAAAGGCATCAAGATGTAAATGAGTAAACCCAGTTGCTAGAATAACGTCTGCTGCAAATGCCTTGATCATAAAGAAGATATTCCTCTCTGGATGCAAAACCGGAATGGCTTTCCCCAGTACTGGAATAGACACTCCAATTGTACTAGCAGCCAGAATGGGTTCTACTGCTGCGATTTTGTACCGGAATGCCTTGCCTTCAAGCCACGGCGAGGTTAACAGCTCAAAGGCATCAGGATGTAAATGAGTAAACCCAGTTTCTAGAACAACGCCTACTGCAAACGCCTTGATCATAAAGAAGATATTCCTCTCTGGATGCAAAACCGGAATGGTTTTCCCCAGTACTGGAATACACACCCCAATTGCACTAGCAGTCAGAATGGATGCTACTGCTGCAATTTTGTACTGTGCGTATTTGGATTTGTACTCTTTTCAAACTGAGCCTAATAAGGGCTTTACCTTTTGTCATGTCCGGTGTCTTCTTCAGGGTCGCATGTACACTCACTACTGAAGGCTAAGATAAGATGGGAAGGAGGAACAGTAGGAGTAGGGTGAAGACTGAAAAACTTGGATGAAAAGGGTCGCCGGAGCTTATTCAGGGTGAGATGAGAAAAGAGAGATAAGAAGATGCTGGTGGCTAGTGGCACCAATCTGAGAAGTGACCCACTTATATAGAGAGAGAGGGCGAATTAGTTTCTCTGGTGTGAAAAAATGAAAATGTTTGGAAGGAGTGCAAATACAAATTTGTAGAGTAGAGCCTAATGGATTAGCCGGTTAGGAATTGATGAGTAGAGTTAGCCAAATATTGTAGAAACATGAGTATGGTGTGGGTTAGGGTTATTACTTGTAGCTGTTTCTGTTTGGCTGTTTCTGTTTTGGGAGCATCTACACATGACACCTTAGCTAATTTCCGTTTTCATTTGTATTTTCAACTAAAAATATTGAGTATAAATACTATTTTAGCCACACTTCTTATGAGATTTCATTCATAGCAGGCTCTTAATCTCTTTTTCTTTTCTTACAAACAGCCAAAGTGTTTCTGTTGGACTTTTTACTACTTTCCTTTTTCTTTTGGATAAATTTCCAAAACCTCCCCTAAAATTTTGGACCGCTGCTGAAACTTCCCCTGAAATTTGTTAATGGCAATTACCTCTCCTGAATTTTCTGACACAGTTACTATTGAGGTTAGTTTCTATAAAAAATAATATCAATTTTATGAAAAATAAAAAAAAAAGTTTAAAGTTGTAATTTTACCTTCGAGTGATTGATACTAACGCTGGTTGGGGTACAATTTTATTTGCATTAGTATAAATGCCAGGGAGTACAAATGAAAAAAAATGCAAATTCTAGTTTAATTTTGTTTTGGGTTTACTATAATCAAATAAAATAAGGTAAATTTAAAATAAAAATAAATCAAAATTTGCACCCAAATCATTTACACTACTATAGGTTTTCATTGCAACCAAACACAGCTTAAGGGAAATTTTGGAAAATAAATCAATTTTGAAAAAAAAATGGATATAAAGAGAAAAAATGGAAATAAATGTGCTGTTCAAAAATAATTGTATGATTGATTATTTTTATACCTCTTTTTAGAGGATTATAAGAGAGGGGATTTACTTGGAATGTGTCAAAGGTTACAACAATTTTCCCTTTTCCCTTTTATTCGGTGATGATGCATCGCATGACATAATGTCGACATTTTGTGATTATTGTTGGGGTAGGCCCTACCCCTTGATATGCATATCTTTGACATAATTGGCCTAAGTTTTAAAGGGAACCCAAAGGGGTAAAGCTAATTTCAATCTGAAATCAAAATGCAGACCTAAAACCCACCTAACCAATGACCTCATAGTTGAATTGTAGTCGGCTGGTATCTGCAAGTACTATATGGTATGATCCGTCAAAGAACTTTTGCTCCTATTATATCATTAGAAAAGAAAAAGGAAATGGTCTGATTCATGGTGTGGTGGATGACAAGTGGTGAATTAGACCCTTTCCACTTTTATATTAGAAGCAAAACTCAGCTCATGGCTGGAGCCTCGTGATCCTCATCTGTACCTTGAGAGTTTTAAAATACAAAGTTGCATCTATATATATATATATATAAGAAGCTCAAAGGTTGATTCCATAATCCAAAAGCACTAAATGATTCTCCTTCCATTTTTTTCCATTATGACCATTTTCTGTTTTATGCATTGGCCACAACATAAAGTGCAATTTTGGCTTTAAAAGTTAAAACACAGAGTTGCATCTCTTTCCCCAAAAAAGGGTAAATTGATAAAACTTCCCATGAAGTTTTTGATTATTGTTGAAATTTCTCTTGAAGTTTGGTCATTGCAATTATCTCCTTTAAACCTTTTAATACAATTGTAATTAGATCCCCATTTGTTAGAATCATCTAAAAAGAGGCACAAAAGTGTCCAATATACCCATGCAATTATCAATGTAGTTGTTGATAAATTTTTCAGTATTTCGTGTTCTTTAGGTCAGGCCTCCCAACAATGTAGTTGGATTTTGATTTTTACTTTTGAGAAATTTAAAAAATTCTTACTTTTGTTTGCCAGAATACTTCTCAGCATTCTAAGGATTTTCCATTTATTCGGGGTAATTTGTAACCTTGTTTTTTTCTCATATATCTTGTTAGGTTTATGTATTATAAATAGGTTTCCAAATTAAACAAAATTTTCTGTTTTGGTTTGTCAACAATGTAGTTGGGTTTTGATTTTTAATTTTTAGCAACAAGTGAGAAAATTAAATAATTCTTACTTTTTGTTTGCCGGAATACTTCTTAACAGTCTCAAGATTTTCCCCATGGCAGTGGTAATTTCTAACATTCTTTTTTTCTCATATATCTTTTTAGGTTTAGGTTTTATAAATAGGTTTCTAAATTAAATAAAATTTTCTGTTTTGGTATATCAACAATGTAGTTGCAGATAAATTTTTCAATATTTCGGGTTTTTTAGCTCAGGTCTCCGAACAATGCAATTGGGTTTTGATTTTTACTTTTTAGCAGCAAGCGAGAAATTTCATAAATTCTTACTTTTTGTTTTGATTTTTCTCCTCTATAACTTGGGTTTCTTATGTTTCTTTTTATTTTTTTCTCTTGTGAAAATCTAAAAATTTTGAGATTTCAGAAACTTTTCTAGAACATGGGAGTGATTGGCCTCCCATGCAGAAAACCACTCCATAACCCACTGCAAGGCCTATTTAGGCATGCTTGGGGGGTAGAAATACGTAGAACCATTCCCTTATATAACAATACGTAGAACCTTCCCTTACAGAAAGGGAAGGTGTTAGGCACTCCTCTCCCTTAAACAATACGTAGAACCATTCCCTTATATAACAAAATCATTAATCAATTAAGACATAAAATTGCAGAAATTTAATCCCCACTTGCTAGAACATTCTACACTGTGAAGATGTCAAGTTTTGGGGACGTTTACCCCATTAACCCTTTTCAATCTCATTACTTTCATCAAGACGTTGCATAAATATCCTATTGGCGCCCTGCCATTACTGTCATTGACTATCCATAATGCAATGTCCTAGATCACATCATGCATCTTTACACACTCATCATCCCTATCGGCCCACTCTAACAAACAAGCCCGTTTTAGATATTGAATGATATCATATCCTTCATTAATTGCATCTCTCATTTCTGTAAATCCAGTTCTTATAAATTCTTCCCCAATCCAATATTCTATGACTTGTTTGGTGGGAATAGAAAAATCTTTGAGAAACAATATAGGAAGCAAATTCTAACATTGTCATTTGGCAAGGCATCATGGCTGAACTTCAAAATTGAAAACACTTCATCCTCCATACCTATAATTTTTTCCAGAGAGCTCCTCAACATTGTAATCACATGTTCCCATTCTTGCAGAGTTTTCTTCATAGTCATTGCCCAGCCAAGGGCAAGCCCCGACACTCCTTGACAACAACCTCAGCTCGCCGAGCTATGTGTGGATGACTCTTCAGGGTCTCCTCTCCCACCTTCTCTATAAATAGATTCCATGATCCACCAAAAAGCAAACATTCAACTCTGAATTTTTTTCTTGGCCTTCATGAGTCTACATACTCTTTCAGATCTAGTTGTGAATATCACCTTCGATGACCTATCTGTTGATCCTATGGGGTCAAGAATTCCAATGCGAACCAATTCGACTTTTTTCCATATATCATTAAAGAGGAGCAAGAACTTTTTCCCAATAAAAATCTTGTGGATATCAGCAGCTCTTGCAACCTGATTTGCGTTTTCTTTTTGTGTCAACCCCATAACATCACCGACTTCCTTATGAATCCTTTCCTCATTCACCGCCTTGGACACGGTAACCCAAACCACAACATCAAAATCATTGTGTTGAAATTCATTATTTATTTTTCTCAAAATAGTTGTCTTTCCAACTCCCCTTGTGCCATATAGCCCAATAATTCCAGCTTCATCATTTTCTCTAATGCAATCACAAATCATCCCAAATATCATGTCCAAGCCCACAGCCTTATCGCACTTGAGTCCCTCTCCCTTGGGAAGATCTAGAACATAAGCGACTTCACTGAAATTGTAGCCCCTATCTTTTAATCCAACCACGTCTTTTAGCATTAGATCTAGTGCTTGCTGATCCTGTAGTTGGCGGAGAAGTTCTTGGGACCATAATCTCCAAGGCAATTACAATCATTTTCTATCCATTCGGTACATTCTTTTAAAGCACTTTCCACTGGGCCTTCCAATGTTTCAACAGGTTTGCCGAAATACCGATTTATACCGAGACGAGGTGCACTCCCATTCAAATTTTAACACGTCATTCATGTATGAATCCCGATATTACATGTATGAATGCACTAAATGGCATAATTGTGTTCTTTTTCTTCATTTTGAAATAAGATAAAACCAAAATTAAAAAATAAATAAGACTTAACCGCTCAATTCGATGGTGTGGAGAAATAAAATAGGAAAAATCATGCAAGTAAAAATCCTTACCCTTTCTAAGTAGTGTTCACGGTTAGGTTACCGTGGGGCTTTTTTTTAACCGAACCGGTACCATTAGTTTTTGGAAAACTAGTAACCGAAACCGAACTGAAGCTAGTCGGTTGACCGGTTTGGTTAACCATTGATTCGTTTTGTCGATTTTTTTCAGCTTTTTAATTTTTACAATATACATTATAAAAATATATATAAATAAATAATAAAAATTTATAAATATATAAAAGACTATATTTTAAATAATACACAATATATCATATATTATAAATATATAATGCATAATTATTAATTTATAGTATATAAAATATATAGAAATATATGTATACCTATCGGTTCGGTTAACCACCAATTTTCTATATTGGTTAACCGATACCTTTCATTTTTTTAAAAACACCGAACCGACCGATTTGGTTAACCAATTTTTCGGTTCATTTTCGAACGGTTCTATGGTCGGTTCGGTATTTCAATTTTTTTGCTCACCCCCAAGGTTCAAAGTATCAAAAACGTAAGGCGTATTAGAAAGACATTTTTAAGAGACATGTCGTGCAAGTTTCAAAATATCGCAAAATATTGGTCCATATCGGCCAATAGGTATCGTTCCGACAATATCCTAATACGCAGAACATGTACAAATCATTTGTTCCAAAGTGTATCCCGATACGTCTCTTAATATTGTCTTTCTGATACACATTACATTTCCAAAACTTTGAACCTTTGTATAGGGATACACTTTGGATATGTATGGATGCGGACGAAAAATCAAGATATGCAAAAATATGGTAGAAAATTCAAATAAATCCTAAAAAATATATTACTAACTATATTTACAAATTTTATACGATTGTAAATAAGTCATTTAAATGTAAAAAACCATAATTTAATGGTTTATATAATGTGTGACATATCGAGACACAATTCGTAACTGTTGAAAAATGATGGAATAACTAAAATGTAAAATCTTACCATAAAAAAGAGAAATGGACGAATCGTCCATCGCCCAAATACCCTGACTTTATAGTTCAAATCCTACCCCTCCCTAATATTTTAATTCCAATTCTATCCCCTCTCCCCTCTTAAAATGACTGAAGTGAATGAATCGTCCATCGTCCAAATACCCTGATTTTATAGTTCAAATCCTACCCCTCCCTGATTTTTTATTTCCAATTCTTTCCCCTCTCCCCTCTTAAAATGACTAAAGCAAATGGGACTAATAGATTTTGGGCATCCTACCCCTCCTTGATTTCTTATTTCCAATCATATCCTCTATTATAATGACTGAAGCGAAGGGGACAAGTAGATTTTGGGGACAAGCGAAGGTGACTAAAGCATATGTTTCTCCCCTTCTCACCCCTGCAACAATGCAAATACCAGGTGTCCTCTTTGGCAGACACGCTCTAATTGGCATTTGAAAACAGAAAGTTTCTCTTCTGCATTTCACGAATCATTTTTGTCCTAAAAGGCAAACATGAGAAAGGTAGCAGAGCATGTTTCGGCATTGACAGTTGTCACGTATGGAACTCTTGGTGTTTATTTTCTTCGATTTCGAAGTTAATCAGACTTATTGTGCTAAGGCGAAGAAGATTGAACCGGAATGCATGTTGGAATACTTCTCAGCGGTGTCAATATTTTCCCCATCTCAGTGGTAATTTCTAACCTTTGTTTTTTCTCATATATCTTTTTAGGTTTAGGTTTTATAAATAGGTTTCCAAATTCAATAAAATTTTCTGTTTTGGTTTATCAACACTATAGTTGTTGATAAATTTTTCAGTATTTCGGGTTTTTTAGCTCAGGCCTTCCAACAATGTAGTTGGGTTTTGATTTTTTACTTTTGAGAATTTTAAAAAATTCTTACTTTTTGTTTGCTAGAATACTTAGCAGTCTCAGGATTTTCCCCATGTCAGGGGTAATTTCTAACCTTGTTTTTTCTCATATATCCTTTTAGGTTTAGGTTTTATAAATAAGTTTCCAAATAAAATAAAATTTTATGCTTTGGTTTATCAATATTGTAGTTGGGTTTTGATTTTTACTTTTTAGCAACAAGTGAGAAATTTAAAAAATTCTTACTTTTTGTTTGTTGGAATACTTCTCAGTAGTCTTAGGATTTTCCCCATCTAAGTGGTAATTTCTAACCTTTGTTTTTTCTCATATATCTTTTTAGGTTTTGGTTTTAAAAATGGGTTTCTAAATTAAATAAAATTTTCTGTTTTGGTTTATCAACAATGTAGTTGCTAATAAAATTTTCAGTATTTCGGGTTTTTTAGCTCATGTCTCCCAACAATGTAGTTGGGTTTTGATTTTTACTTTTTAGCAGCAAGTGAGAAATTTCAAAAATTCTTACTTTTTGTTTTGATTTTTCTCCTCTATAACTTCGGTTTCTTATGTTTATTTTTCTTTTTCTCTTGTGAAAATCTGAAAATTTTGAGATTTCATAAACTTTTCCTGAACATCAAGACACTTTGTAGAACTTTGACTGAAATAACAAGTATAGTTATAAGTCATTCTCATATATCTTTTATGTTTTTAACGAATGTAATTGCATTATTCAATCGATTTCAATTAGGTTTTATAAATAAATTTCTCGTTTTTGTGTTTTTTGTTCCTATTTTATGTGATCAAATTAAAGAAATTTTTCTGTTTTGGTTTATGAGCAATAGATTACTGAATCATGAACCATGAATGAAATTTTTATTGTTTTGGTTTAACAATAGATTTTTATTGATCAGGTATAGGTTTTTTAGTTCATCAACCCCAAAGCATATTCAAAGAGGGTTAATATCAATATCGGTTTGTGTTCTATTTCTTGATTTTGTATTGTTTCTTTCATAAGTTGCATTATAACTAGCATTATTAATGATATGCCAACCAAATGGCAAATTATAGAAATGCTTCAACTCATAATGTATGCCAAGTCAATATGATGTTCCTAATTTTTATTTAAATTAAATAATTAGTTTAAATGGAAATTATATTATAATGTTTTTAAATCTAAACAAATTCTCTCAAAAAGAAAATTGAACAAAAAAAATCTATAAAAGAGAAAGAATATGTAATTGCTTACTCATTATTGAAGTATATCCCGCATGCATTTTATATGTAAATTTATTTCAAATTTTTGTAACTTTTAAGCATTTTTTACATGAAATTAATAATAAGAAATTTAAAACTAATTATTTCAGTATTAAACTACCAAGACGAGCATCTCAGTTTATTTTCACAAACAAGCTGATTACCACTCTTTCTAGACCTAACAAAAACAAATAATCAAAGATTGCTTACACCATTATCAACACACCTTGAAATAACCAAGAAATTAAGTCCAATCCCAAGCTATTCAGTTCTGCATAGTTCCATCTGCACATCCTAAACCAGAAGTGACACCATTATAACTATCAGCTCAGCTCAGCTTAGAGAGAGAGAGAGAGACTTGTATTTGGAGAAATGGATGAAGCTGTGGAGAGAAAGAAGGGCAGATCCAATACCCAATACTCAAAATCCAGTCCCTATGACCCAATTCCATAAAAAAAGGCTGAATTCAAAAATCACTCTTCCCCCCGTCTTTTGCAAATATATAAGCTTTTCCTAACATAAGGCTGATATACATTATATATACCCAACTTGCACCTGAAACATATCTTGTTTATATATCCCTTTGCTTAGCCAATGCATCTGTCATTGAATTGGCTATTCTTGCTAACCAATTAAAATTGCAATGCAAATTCCTTTATAGCCTTTATCTCCCTGATGATGCTTCAATATTGTGATTTCACTAAGCTATCACTTCTAGACTTGTTCATAGGCCGGGTAGCCTGATGGCCCGACCCGCATCCCGGTCGGGCTTGGTCATGTAATTAGGCCTGCGGGCCTGACCTCGGGCCTAACACAGTAAGCTCGACTGTGTTTCGAGCCGGGCTTGGGATTTGTCAAAAAAGCCTGGCCCGAATCAACATTATATATTTTATAAATTATATAATATGTATTTTATATATTATATAAAATATATAAATAGTATAATATTTATTAAAATATATATTTATAATTTAATATATACTTTTTTTATTATTTTCTTTATAATCTATCTATCTATCTATCTATCTATCACTTCAGTAGTAGTAATAGTATGGGCTAAATTTCAGGCTCGAGCCCAGGCCTAGGCTTTGGGCTTTTTATGAGGATCAGGCTCAGGCCCAAGTTGTAGGCCCAATGGTCGGGCCGGGCTTGGGCTCGAGCCTTAGAAAAATTTGTTAATACAAAGTGAAAGCCCAGCCTGGCCAGCCCATGAACAGATCTAATCACATCCTAGCCAGCCCAAGCAGCAAGACAACATCAGTTCAACTAATAGATGATAGATCTATGAACAAATTGAAACAAAAAATGACACAAAATAACTTATAACAACTGGAGTGTTTAATGATTTTATCACTTTTTACCAGTTAATGATGAAATCAATTTAAAATGCCATGTAATTGAGAAAACAATCCATGTGGATACAGTGATGAATATAGAAACAATAAATCTTTAAACTTGTTTTCTCTCAGGGGAGAGGAACTTGCAAGAAAAACTTTTAAGGAGTTGGAAGAAAAATTGCAGGCCTTTGAAGAAAAAGTAGAATAATTTGTATCCTTACATAGCTTGGTGTATTGTAAGCAGCGTTGATGCTCAAAAGAGACTAAGGTCATCTTAAGGTGAAAGGAATGGACTTGAAGAGGGTGGTTAGGTGGTCTTTGAGAAGAATGGAGTCTTGGGGTTAGAAAGTATCAATGCTAACTCATTGAATCCAAAGGTGCAGAACATCCCTAATGCAGTAAGATGTTTCATAAGTCAGATAAACCACTGAACTGCTAAGGTGTCAAAAGCAATGACCATAATTATAATTTTGGGACCCCTCTTTTTTAATAAAAAAATATACTTAAAGACATCCCCAAAAACCAATTTTTGAAAAAAAAACTAAAAAAATAAACACGGATGGTTTTTACTACTGATATGCCTTTGCCAATACATAAGGGCATATTGATACTTTGAACCATGGTCAAAAGCTTTTGCTAGATTGAAAGTGGGATTACTTGGAACTGGGCCCATTAAGATGATTTAGAAAACAAAGAAAGTTCAAGAATCAAAGAGGTTTGTGTTCAAAACTCCACAAAAGTTGAATAAACGGGTAATCTGTTGAGAGGTTGATAGTCATGTTGTTGGTTTGTGTATGTTATTTAGTATAAGTTGGAGGGCTGACTTTTAAGTATGTTGTCTTCATAGGTTATTTCTGTGTTCTATTTTGGGTGTTTCGTTCTTTGTTGAGGATTTGGAAAGCTTTTTTTAGAGAAGAAAACATGGTTTTGAGGTTTTTTCTTTTCTTTTGCATGTAGGTGATATCTCATCAATGTTTTGGTTGGTCTTGATGATGGGCCCTAAGACATGATGCAAAAGTTTGATGACCATATTCCTTCTCAAACATTTGACAGTATTCAGATTATCAATCTAAATGGTTAAGATTATGTTTGTTTTTTGCAGTTTGTGAATTTTACAGAGATCGTGTCAAAAAAATCCCCTATGGTATGAAACAAATTTGGAGCTTGGTCTCCAAGGGTAATTTTATCAGCATTCATCTTTTAACTTAGTAATTATGGATTCCACTTAGAGCAAATACCTAGAGCAACTTGGATGCCTTCAAAATTGTAAAATTATTTCACACCTAGCACTACCTAGCTTGGTTGGAATGTAATAATTTCATATTGCTAGGAATACTTCAAACTTTCTATCAAATAAATCAACTTGAAGATTTTAGCATGGTGCTAACTATATAGATCATATTAGCTTGATTATAATTAAGGAAATTACTCAATAGTGGTCCCAACTATTTGTGGTCTCGAGAGGAGACCACACCAAACAATGACCTCTAATTAGTTTCCTTGATTTCATATTCCTTTTGGAAAATTTAAACTCTTATTTCAGATTTGGGGACTTGATGCGAAACCTGAATCCATAATTTAGTTTCATAATTTGACTTATCTTTATGAGATTTTAGCTTGTATTCAAATGGTTTAGTGGTTGAAAAAATTAAAATAAGGAAGACAATACAAACAATAAATTACCATAGCTTCTTTCAAGTCTATATATTCAATTTGCATCCATTTAGAACCAGCGATGATATTATTTGCTTAAAAGATAATATAAAGTCAATAAAAAAGGAGCAGATTCAAGGGATTAGGATTTATATACTGAGTCTAGTATTGAACTTGGTATTTTTATTCTTGGATAATTTGATAGTAGCATACATAATCATCTCTTTAGGCTAGAAGATCCAATTTGACTCACCTTACATACTATATAAAATTCGATGTTGGAATTGTTGTACTTTCAATTTAAAGTTGTGCATGTATATACCCAAAATTGAATTCAATTAAAGGTTATAAGAGTGAGCAAACCACACTCACTATGTTTCTCCTCAGTGTAGACATTTTCTGACTTCATTCTTTTTCTTGCAAATTGTATATAATTTTGGAATTATATAGTCTTGTTTCTTTTAAGTTTCATGGGACAGGTTTTTAAAAACTTTTCTAATACAAATTAACATATTTCTATGCGACTTACTATGAGAAATATCATTTCTATGCCTAATTTTATTATGTGTTTTCTTGTTATTTCATTTATGAGATCAATGCTCATTTTCAATTTACAAGTTTAGTTTTTTTGTTTCAGCAAACTCTAATACCTTTTCAAATGTTAGTATTTCTATTATAATTGTTTATTCTATTTGATTTATGATTTTATTTATACTTGATTATAGTGCTAAGAAAGGGCATAGACAATATAAACTCAAAAAAGGGGGAACAAAAATGGAAAAAAGGTCTCTTTTTTTTTGTGTAAATACTATACCATTTGACTATTGTTTTTTCTAATAATTTATATAAATCTATAAATATAGATGAAAAAACAGCGAAACACCGTGAACAATAATGTAAATATTATGTCAATCTAAGTGTGGAAAGGAAACGGGAAATATATCTAAGAAAGAGAGAAGCAAAGAGAAAGAAAGACTTGGCAATTGAACAATCAACAACGGTATTTTATAAAACATATAGTGACAAATGCAAATATCCATCAATAAAAACCATCTATTGCAACGGATTGTGACCATCAATAAAGATATTTGTCGGTATATGTACTTTCTTTTGTAATGACTATCAAGTTACATGCTTTATTAAAGTTAGGAACAAACACGACTAGCACATTTAAGATGGTTTTTGTTTGTTTAGGAGGGACTAAGCGAGGCTTCTTAGAAAGATGTTAAAAGATTATTGGGTTTGATGGATGCCACATGAAGATTGGTGCAATTGAAGGCATTATTTTATCAAATGTTGTGCTAGATGGAAATAATGAATTATTCCCCCTTTCTTATGGAATAGTGGAGGGTGAAAGAAAAGAAAATTGGATTTAGTTTTTAACAAAATTGAAAAAATCTATGGATATCGATGACCCTCAAAGGTGGACATTCATGTCAGATAGACAAAAATTATGTATCATATCCTAGTGCATTGCATGGTCATTCAATCACTTGTGCATTGTTTAGTTCAACAATTTTAATCTTAATGATTTACAAACTTATTGGTGACTCTTGATAGGGCATGGTAGATGTGCTTCTATTTTCATGCCAAGGGCAAACATAGATTTCTCTATGGAACCTTTACAACAATTTCAAGAAAGTCATTAAAAGAAAAGCTTTGGAAGTCTTTCCTACTTAAATGAGAAGATGGGCTGATTAAATTTATCATAAACTGTTTATGGACACAAAGGTATCCATAACAATCATAAGTTGTAGTGTAAAAGTTGTGGTAGAAACCTATTCAAGGACCTCACCTAACAACTTAAGCTTTAATTCCAATTCGTTTTTGAGGTGATGTTGTTATTGTCATGTTTCTAATTAGGAATATGTTTTTCATGTATTCTTGGGTGTAAAACACCATACGGTCTTTTCATTCTTGAGTGGGAGTTATTTCATGTTCCTTTGAGAGTTTTTTGGTGTACTTGTTTTGTTCACATACTTGGTCCTCACTATACTAAATTTAATCTTAAAATCAAGTGTATCTTCCTTGGGTATGCTCCAAACTAGAAGGGAAATTGTCACTATAATCCAATGTCAAGAAGTTGGTATGTTACCATGGATGTTGCCTTTCTTGAATCCACTCATTTTTCTCTAATATTCTTTTTTATGAGTGGTGTTTTGGGGATGAGTGTCTTGTTCTTATGCATCTTCTTCCTACTTCATCTTCTCCACTATCAATTCTAGAGACTCTAACCCCTATTTCCTTGCCTAAATTTCATTTGATGCCCTACATTTTTTTTTTCAAATGTCAGTGCAAAATGGTTGATTTTAATGCTCTTCATGCACCAATAGGAAAACCCATGCTGCTTCCAGTCGATCCATCTGAAGCTTTAGATTCATCAGACATAGACCTAGTTTTGCCTCCTATTATTAATACTTTATATTCCTAGTGTTGATCCTGTCTCTATTGATGTTGATGATCTTTCCATTGCACTTTGCATAGGGAAGAGGAAGTTTATTACCTTTATAGCTCATTATATCTCACATTATCTCTCATATAATGTGTTTATACCCAAGAATGTTAGTGAGGCTTAAACTTGAGAGATAGTTAACTACTTGTTGATAAGGATACCATTGATTGTAAATGGGTTATTATAGTAAAATACAAGGCTAATATATAGCAGTATAGAAAAAGGTACAAGGTGATTCTAGTTGCAAAGAGGTATAAACCTATGGAGTTTATTATTTAGAAACTTTTGCCCTTGTGGCAAAGATGACATTAGTTCAGGTTCTTCTCTCTCTAATTGCTACTTACTCTTGGCCTCTATTTCAATTTGATGTGGGGAATGCTTTCTTAAATGAAGAATTACATGCAGAGGTGTATATTGACTTTCTAACCAAATTCTATAGTGGTGTTGATGCAAACAAAGTGAGTAAGCTGAAGAAATCTTTGTATGGATTGAAATAATCACTAAACACATGATTTGTTAGATCTAAGGGCCTTGATTTGTTTTGGATATATGCAAAGTCAAATCATACATTGTTTGTGAAAAGGAGAGGGACTATAGTGAAAGTTTTAATAGTATATGTTGATGATATTGTTGTCATAGTTAATGATCTAGAGGAGATGATGTGCTCAATAAGTCCTTGCTAGAAGAATTTGAAATCAAGGATAGGAAAATTAAGATACTTTTTGGGAATATGTGGCAAGGTCTAGACATGGTATCTTTGTCTAGGTGAAATATGTTTTAGATCCATTTCAAGAAATAGGAAAACTTGGGGTGAAACTTGTAGTGCACCCATTGACTTGAATCATAGAATTAACACATCAAATGGTGGACTAGTTAAGGATGTATGGCGGTATTAGAAATTTTTGGGTCGATTGTTATACCTCTGCATAATTCACCCAAATATTTCCTATAGTGTGGTTAGTAAGTATATACATGCACCACAAACTACTCAAGGGGAAGCTATTGACAGGATCTTTACTTGCCAATTTCTACTAAATTAAAATAACAAATGTCAAACACTCACAAAACCAAATATGGGTGTATAAACTCATCAACTATGTATTTTTACCACAAAAGAAAACCTTACAACACAAACAAGATAAAATCAAAATTAAGAATTTACTTTCAACCTATTTGCACTTATATGCATTTACACCTGTGCAAATGAAATTCACACTTAACTTTTTAAAGTTTAGATATCCATAGAAGGTGCCAATAATGTCCTAACTGACCATTGCATCTGTACATCAAGAACCTCCCCATGAATGAATGGCATGGGAGATGTTCCCAATGTGTGGCTGTAGTGGATTAGGAAGGAGTTGGGAGCATTTGTTGTTAGCATATCCCTACCCCATTTTAAAACCTTGGGTTACTCCCCAAATAGTGAAATTTTGGAGAGGCATGTCGAACTGGACTAGGTTGAGAAATAATCCAATGTTTTCATTAAGTTTTGATCTCTTACAATTGTCTTGGGTGCGCTTCCATTCAATTCATTAAATGTCAGCTACATACAACTTCCACATTTGAGGTATTAAACAGTTGGTTGCTCCTACTATTATGCTCCATTTTTCATTCTTTTCAAATGTAATAAAACATAGTTGAAAAAAATGTTCGACTACCCAGTTCGACAAAGAGGAGAAATGAAAAGGGACATCCATTGAAAAATAAAACCCTAGTCATTTCTTCTTTAACTAGGAGAGGGAATGATTTATAACGTCTATTTCTTCTTCATTTGCATAGAAATATGCAAAGCCATATCACATTCCTCAATTGCAGAGAAACATTCAAAGCCCTATCCCATTCTTCAGTTGCAGAAAAGTCATTTTCAATGAAAGGTAGGAATATGCATTGATGTTTAGGTTATTTACTAAATATGAGGTCAAGTCATTCTAGAGGCAATAATCAGAGAATGCAGTAAAAGAACTCCCATTTGGTTCTTTTAATTTTGAGACCATAAGATCCTTGGGTGTTTTGAAAGGTGAATCCATAAGGACTAATGTTACAAAAAGGGTCGAAAGAGACTCAACCATCAAAATAGCCTAGGAAGGATACTGCAATTACGATTGTTAAAACATCAAATGATAATTTGCAAGTAGCACTAAAAAGTTGAAAAAATCGAAGTATTTAGAATTCATCTAATTGCTCCCCGTAATAACGTGGTAAAAGAATTTGAAAGAGGTTAATGTAAGAGTTCAATTCATTATGTCTCACAATGTTGATTACATTAATTAAACTTAAGTAGTTTTGTATCTCTAGAGGCTTAAAAAAGCATTGCTTTCATCATCGATGCATGGCATTTATGTTTATTCTAGACCATATCATATAGAAGGGATGTTGTAGAAAAATAGCTTATTATCTTGTTCTTCTTCCTCCTTATGGTTAGAGTAGAATTTTTTGCATTTGCTATAGATCTTGATCTAAGCGTTTTTCTTGACTTCTTAGATGGTTGCAGCAAAGATGCAAGCTCCACTAACCACTTTGTTGTGGAGAAAAGGTTATTGGATGTGTAATGTCATGATTGTCGTCTACAAAACTACGTGTGGTTTTCTTCCTCTCCAATTCAATAAAATATCAAATTGAGAGAGCAATCAGTTTCTCTACAGCTGAAGAAGTGACTCGTTCCCTCCCTTATCTGAAGAAGAAATGGTTAGGTATTCTTCGGATTCTCCCTATTTCATTTTTCCTCTATGTCCAACATGGAATTGGGTAGTCAAATATTTTATAATTATTTTTTTTTTTTACATTTGAAAAAATGAGAAAAGGGCGGGGCAACCGACTTTAATTACCTTGCACATGTGAGATGTGGGGGTAGTGTGTGGTTGAGTGGAAGTAAGGATGCAAATAGATTGGATCAGATTTAAATTAGGGTATATTGAAATATGTTCTTATACTATAAAACCGTAGATTTGAAGATTTGATCAAACCCACCATCATTGATCCAAATCCGAATACATTAAGGATTTCGAATATCCGAATATGATTTTATTTAATTTTTAAAAATGGTGAGAGAGGGAGACCTATTCGAATTAGGGGTGCAACTTGGGCGGGCCATGATTGAACCCAAACCGACCCAACCTAGAATTTTACATGGGCTAGGCTTGGATTTTTGGTCCTCGGGCTGGGCTTGGGCCTAAGAAGTTGGGCTTTTTTATTTTTTGGGCCGAGGTCGGGCATAACGCTTAGGTAGCTTGAACCCGACCCAATTATACATATATGTGTATATATGTAGATGTTGATATTTACATATATATATACATACATATTTGTATAAATATTTTGTACATATATTTATATATATACATATATTTATGTATATATATTTGCATAAATACATTTAAATATGTATAATTTAAGAGTGGGTTCATTGACCAACCTGAATGCATCAAATTACAGGGCGGATTGGGAAAATCGGGCTTAACCTCGGGCTCAGGCCTTAAGTCCAAATTTTAGGGGCGGGCCTGGGTTGACCATAAACCCGGTCCCAACCCGCCCGACTTGTACCCCTAATCCGAATTCGATCTGATTTTCCACAAAATAGGGTCGGATTTCTAATCGGATCATGACCCGATCCATTTGCACATATGCACCCCTAAATGGACGAGCACCCCGTCTCACACCAAGACAAGTGCGGGAGGTCCGAGTTCGTTTTCATCGTAGGGATTCGTTTTCTCCCAAAACTTCAGTCATTGTTGCTCGCTACTCTCAGTGGCGAAGCAAAACCCGGGAAGACGAAGTCATCACCACCCTCATTTGCTTGACGATTCAAACCATGCAAGTCGTCTCAAATGCTCGCAGGATTTCCAGGGTTTTGAAAGCTCCCGTTTTTCTCCACTTGGAGCGATTTCTCATCTCTGATATTGAGAAGCTAGAAGATTGCTACGGTTCCTTTCAATGGCAGAAGCAGAGAAGCTTTTCAATTCAAACCTCCACGTTTTCAGGTTTTTTTAAATATCTTTGGATTTCTATTCTTTGTTTCGTTCTTTAAGTACTCATTTCAGTTGAACTAATTAGATCCTAATTTAAATAGAAATATATCTGAATGACTGAATCATGTTTATTTAATTATTTTAGTTCTTAATTATTATTTTTTATTGCCTTCTGTTTAATGAAATCTCGATGCATCAATACGTTTTCTGAGTACATTGAACCACAGGGACCATTCATGGCGTCCGCTTGCCGGTGGCCACCGATGTTCAACACCTAGGGCGGCACCCAATATGTTCTGTGATGGCAAGGGCTTCTTTTGCATCTGAAGCCGGTACCACAGATGGAGGGCCTTCAGGTTCTTCTTTCATTATTAGTGTTACTTCAAGCTCGTTATGGTGGTTTTTGACATTTAGACGTGTAAAATGCTAGTTAAGTGTGTTAAATTTTCAGAAGATATTGGTTTGCAGAGACTGTGAAGGAGATATATGATAAAATGCTTAAGTCTGTTGAAGCTGAAACGATGCCTCCGAATGCTTGGATGTGGTCACTAATTGAAAACTGTGCAAATAGGGAGGACATTAAACTTCTATTTCAGATGTTGGAGAATCTCCGAAGATTTGTAATGCTCGATTTTTGCTTTGTTTTCATTGATAAAATTGTTCTTTCCTTTTTGGGCCATTGGTTTCTTTATTTACTAGTTTTTATTATGCTTCACCATACCATGATTAATTCATGAATCATAGTACTTAAATACTTGTTTTTTTGGTTGCAGAGATTGTCAAACCTTCGCATCCATGCAAACTTTAATTGCAATCTTTGCTTAAGAGTTGCAGAGGCATGTGCTCGTGTAGGTTCCTTGGACTTTGGTATGACTTCGAAAACGCTTCTTCTGTTCAGAACTTTTAGTAGTTTGAAAATGCTTATTGGATTTGGAAATGAGAGTGTTATTGTTAGCATTTATTGACAATAATTTCCTCGGTTCCCAATTTGAATGTAGAAGATTCTGAAGCTGAGGATTATATAGGTCTTTGCTGGTAGATGCTAATGAGTTGTTTTGTTTAGATAATAATAAAGAAATCTTAATTACAATGATAACTCTGTTTATCAATGACATTGATAAAAAAAACTCAGTTTATCAATGACTTTATCATCTCAGAGTTAGAAGATTTTAATGTGTTCATTTCATTAATTTCAATAGAAGCATAAATACATAGATTGCTGTTACAAGTGAATTCAGCTCCCTTAACAAGTTGAAAGGGATCCCAATTACAAATCTGTCCAAAAGAGTTGTTCCCTATGCACCCGTTGTTTAGCCAGCATTTCAGCCATCTTATTTGCTTTTCTCTTTATCCATTTTAACATCGTCTCCAAACCCTTTGCTATGTTCTTAATCTCTCTTATAGTATGCTTGTGAATCCACACACCTGGGTTATTGTCATTCATCCGAGTTATTACCAGCTTTGAATCCCCCTCTACCTCCACATATTGATGTCCCCATTGTTTTGTAATCTTCATACCTTGAAGTAGGGCCAAAATTTGGGCTCTTAGAGAGCCCTCGTTCCCATTGATCCAGATAAGAGTGTCACCACCTTCCCCTTTGTATTCCTAAAGACACCTTCTATCCCTGACAATCCCAAGATACCCATGGAGCTTCTGTTGAAGTTTAGCTTCATTCCATTAATTGAAGGCGGCTTTGATTCCATCACTATATCTTTCACTGAGGAGGAATTTGCTACTTATTTCCAAGCTCTTAAATATCATCTAATGTAACCACTTGGAATGCTTCCATGGTTTTTGCCCAATGCGCAGCCTTTATGTTTATCTTTGTTTCTTCCACAATATCTTCCATGGATCTGCACCTTTCCTTGAAAGTTCTTACATTTCTTTCTTCCCAAATTATCCAAACTGTTGGTGCCCTAGCTGCCTTCCATAATATTTTCCCTCTCTTTTTTGATTGTCTCATAAACTCGGGATTAAACAGGTAGAAATGTCCTGTGGAGGATTTCAACTGCATCCAAGGAGAGCAGAAATGCACACCCAAACACAATTGACAAAAGGGCAAAAGTTTAGTAAGTGAGGAATGTTCTCACATTTGCCTTGCATAAAATGCACATGTGAGGATAGAGACACCTATTTGGCCTTCTTCGTTGGAGTACATTATAGGTGTTTATCTTTCCAAGGAAGATTTCCCAACAGAAGGCTTGAATTTCGGGTGGGATAATAGGTTTATTCAAATCTCTTTCACTGGAAAGCTTTCACCCGTAGAGTTAGAAAGGACAAGAGTATCGAAGAAAGAAAGTAAAAAACACAAGGAAAGGAGCCAATAGGAGAGGGAGTCCAAATTCTATTATCCTCCATCCTTGGGTCCAAGAAGACTCTCCCTAATTTGTTGAATAGGTCAATCAAGGATTCACACTCCCTATCTCTTAGACCCCTTCTGAAGTCAAACCCCAATTTATCCTAGAGTTTGAGGCACTCCAAAAGGACACAATAGGTTTCTTTTGAAAAATGGATAGAGAGTAAAGCAAAAGGAACTAGGTTTTCAAATGGGAGTTACCCAACCAAGTTTCTTCCTAGAAAAGAACTGTATTGTTGCATCCTACATCAAACCTGGTGTAATTTAAGAAAGTAGGACGTACCTCATGGATAGCTTTGCAAGGTGAGATTGAAGAAGCAAGATTTGAGACTTAGCATCCCAACCATTGTCCAATGAAAAGATTTGGCAGGACTGAGTGGGTTTCTGAGAATTTCATTCAACAGTCAGCACCAATTGTAATGGTTCACTTAAGATTGCAACCGGAGTCGCTGATGAATTTCAATCTGTCACAGAAGACTGCTGAAACTCATGAAGGTTCTTCCGTTGTTGAAGTTGTAACTTGTGATTTGGTTAGATTTTGGTTTGGGTGTGTTGAAATCACCAAATTTGATGAATGTTATTGCTTGTGAATTCTGCTTCTTGGTGAAAATCAAGTGCTGATTGGTTTGAGAACTGAACTCTCTTTTTTGGATCTTTCTGATAAACCCATTTGACTAAATCAGAACAGAACCAAGGCACACTGGCCAGAAGGCCCAAAACTAAAATTGGAATTGTGTATTTCCGGAAATTCAGTTGAGTTTCCAATTGTTTTCATGTTATAAACCAATTGCTCACAAAACTGCATCGTAGTTTGCATCATTAAATGCCAAATGAAAAGAGCACAAAAAAAAAAAATCAAAATCCGGTTCCATTTTGTATTCACTTGAACTGGACAAGACATCATTTACAGTGTGCAAAATTGTATTTGCACCGCAACCAAACACAGTCTAAATGTTAAAAGCCTACTGGATCAAATTAAAATACATAAGCATAACATATAAAACATATTTAAAGTGACAATGTATAAATAAAGTCAAACATGACATATAAAACATATTCAAGCATGTGGAACTTTCAATTTGTTTATTTCTCTTCCAATTGCATTACTTCAGGTGGCTAATGTAATGTTGAACATCTTGCATTCCTAATTCTATGAGCTGCCTTTGTACCAAGCCCCATGAGACAAGCCTAAACAAGTTGATTCTGGGGTCCTGAATTCTTGGCCCGTATATAACGAAATTGGTTTTGTAATTTTAGTTGTAGTTTGTTATCTTTTGGAATTAGGAATAAAATGCTGTTTGTTGAAGTGTGTCTTGTATTAAGAAGGATGAGAGAACGATATAAGCAAAGGTGTGGGGGGGGGGAGAGGTTCACTCACTTGCCTCGTGCACCTGAGGTGTATGCCTTAGAATCATAAATTCTTCCAGCATGCGCCTCAAGCTATTTTGAGGTGAGGTATGCCTCTAAGTGTACACATTCCACACCTTTTAAAGCACTGCTTTGTATATCACCCTTGTTTTTAAATATAGACACCATAGTGCTCTTTCTCTATTCATCTGTTTTTTTTAGATTTATGGTTTTATCTACATAAAATTAACATGTATCTATTGGTAAAGTTAGTTTCAAAGTCATAGGATCAAGTGTCATAATGTCTTCCTGGGAAATAGCTTTGGATATTCATACGGGACTTTAATGCAATAAGATTTACAACTGAGTCAAATAATCCTAGATAGGTCATCACAACTAGTACGAAAGCTTCCTTTACTACAAGTTATCTTCACTTGATCCAACTTCCAGGAAAACCCAACTTGCTCGAAGCTAGATAGATTTCTTTTCAATGAAGGCTGGGAGAATCATTGGAGAGGATTGGTGGATAAGGCTCTACCTAGGCTTACTTCCAACCACTGCTCTATAGAAGTAGTACAAGAAGAACCATTCAGATTTGAGAATATGTGGTTAACACATCCGAATTTCGTGAATAAGGTTAAGGAAAGGTGGAGTGAAGAGATGAGGGGGGTGAAATGGAAAGGGGGCAGATTTCACAAAAAAGTTAAAAAGATTGAGATCCAAAATAAAAGAGTGGAATAGGGATCAATTTGGAAGAGTGGAGGAAACAAAAGCTACCTTATTGACTCAGATTGAGATCCTAGATGCAAAATAGTCTCAAAGATTGATTAGTGGGCAGGACCGAGAAGCGAGATGGAAACTCAAATAGGAACTAGAAGAGGTCCTGTTGAGGGGAGGATATTTCGTGGAGACAAAAATCTAGGCATAAGTGGATGAAGGAAGGGGATGGAAACACCAAAGTTTTTCATGCTATGGCTAATGGGAGAAGAAAGAAAAGTTTGATAGTAAATCTCGAGGTCAATGGAGTTGACATAACCTCTCAAGAGGAGATTGCTAGTTGCTTTATGGCTCACTTCAAATCAATCTTTCAAAGACCTTCGAAGGTTCAAGCGAGAGTGGAGGATGAGGATTAGCCAATTTTGAATGAGATGGATAGGAGATGCTTAGTAAGAACTATTGAGGAAGAGGAGATTAGACAGACTGTCTTCTCTATGGATAAAGCTAAGGCTCCAAGACCAGATGGTTTTACAATGGCATTTTATCAAGACTGTTGGGATATACTCAAAGAAGATTTAATAGGGGTCATTAGAGAATTTGAGAACAAACATGTGGTGAGTCTTGGAGTCAATGCTACATTCCTAGCTCTTGTTCCCAAAAAGACTAATGCTAAACATCCCAAAGATTTTAGGTTGATTAGCCTGGTGACTAGTATCTATAAGATCTTGGCAAAAGTGCTCTCCAGGAGGATCAAAGAAGTTTTGTCTACTCTCATTAGTTAAGCACAAGGAGGTTTTGTGTAGGATAGACAAATTGTAGATCAAATCTTCATAGGAAATGAAAGTGTGGAGTAAATGCAAAGATCAGATAGAAAAGGCTTATGATCTATTGGACTGGATTTTTTGTTGGAGGTGTTAAGAAGGTAGGGATCTGGGGACAAATGGTGTAATTGGATAAGTGGTTGCCTAACTTCCTATCATTACTTAGTCTTAGTGAATGGAGTGGTCAAGGATTTCTTCCCAACCCAATAGAGGCCTAAGACAAGGTGATCCACTTTTTCCCTTCCTCTTCACGCTTGTTGCTGATGATATTATTATCTTTTGTGGCGGGAGTGACTTAAGAAAGGTGGAAAATCTTAAGAATCTAATAAGGGTCATTGAGTATGCATCTAATTTGAAGATAAGAAATCGGAAAAGGTAATGAGGGATTTCTTGGGGGAACTAGGAGAGGTGAAGAAGGATCATCTAATCAGATGGAAGATAGTCAATAAAAGTAAGCCCATTCCTCCTCGGGTTGGTAGTTTTTGCTGGGAAACTTTCTTGGAAAGGATCAACACAAGTGACCTAATTCTTGTTTATCCCCAAATCGGTGTTCTCTCTGTAAGGTTGATGGGGAAACTGGCTACCACCTTATGGTTACTTGCTTGTTTGCTAAATTTATTTGAGA